CAGCACCTGCCCAAGCAGCCCCGGCATTCTGAAATTAGGAAACACATTTTAGCCCTAGCCGCTTGCGGGAGAGCGTTGTTGCTCACTCAGGTACTTCACAGATGGGAACTGCGGACAAGCCGTTTCATATAGGAAAGCCCTTCAATAGCTTAGGGTGGTTTTTTTTTTAATCTTGCACAGCTTTTGTTTTTGGAGAAAAGTGTTCACCGAGAAAAACTGCAGTGCAGAAAACCCGAGTATTGACAAAGCAATAATCTCATATGAAAACTGTGTTTAAGATCTCCAACAGATATATATATATAAAATAATATAAAAATGACATGCTCTGAAAGAAAATCATTTTCTTATGCAGAAGGACATGTTCTAAAATTTGGAACCCTACGTTTAACAATACATTTTTTTATTTGGCCAGCTCCCTTTTTTTTCTTTTTCTCTTTTTTCTTCTTTCTTTTTCTTTTTCATTTTCTCTTTTCTTTTTTTTTTCCTTTTCATTTTCTTTTTCATTTTCTTTTTTTCTTTTCTTTCTTGCTTTTTGTGCCAGCCCTGGGCCATGTGTGTAAGAGCACAGGCCTTCTCCCTGGACTTTCTTTTTTCCCTCAAGGCTAGCACTCTACCACTGGAGCTGCAGCCCCAATTTTGGCCCTTTTTTGGGGGGGTTAATTTCAGATGAGATTCTCATAGACTTTCCTGCTCCCACTGGCTTAAAACCATGATCCTCGGTATCAGCCTCCTGAGTAGCTGGGATTATAGGCATAAACCACTGGTGCCTGGCTTTAATTTCATTTTTAATGAAGAGCATTATGTTGTTTATGTGTGTCCGTGTCTCCATAAATTGGAACATCTTTTTTCTCTGCGCACTGAGATTACTGTGACCAGGATGGCTTTCTCTTGGAAAGTGGTAGGGAGCATGAGCATGTCTAGCTGGCTGGCAGTCTCCGCAGGGCTGGCGGTGGGGTGAGCGATGCCCTGCTGTCTCCTCAGGTGGTGGCCGTCCTACACAAGTTCCACTTGCACAGGGAAGCCGCGCTGGGCTTGCACTTTGTCCAGGAGCTGGTGCCGCGCTTCCCACATGCCCAAGTGGGTGCGGAGGCAGGCCTCGCTTTCACCTGCCAGGTTATTGAGACGGGGAGAATAGTGCCTGCCCTGCCCTCCCAGTTCTGTCCCCCCACTCCCCCCCCACCCCCCACAATCATTTATTCAAACCATGCCTAACTTCCTCCTGGGCCATCTTCTACCAGCTACCTAGACCTCAGCCTGCTCCACAGCCCTGTCCACAGCTGTGCCCCGCCCCCCCCCACTTTTAAGTATCACAGAGGTAAAAGGGGGGGGGTTACTGCACCCCAGGAGCTCATCCCTGCTGTGTGATAGCAGACCAAAGCCAGGGGACCCTACCCCATCCCACTCCACAGGCAGTTTTTCTGTCCTCTATAAACATCACAGCCATAGGGCTCACGAGCGCCCCCTATTGGGACTAGGAGGTATGATGACATAGCAGAATAGCCCTTTTTGAGGAAGCATGCATCAGGAAAGCAGAAGCAAATTATTTCTTTTTTTTTTCCTTTTTCTTTCTTTCTTTTTTCTTGGGGGGGGGTCGTGGGTCTGAACTCTGGGCTGGGCGCTGTCCCTCAGCTCTTCAGCTCAAGGCTAGCGCTCTACCACTTGAGCCACAGCGCCACTTCTAGCTTTTGTTTTCTGCTTATGTGGTGCTGAGGAATCGAACCCAGGGCCTCACGCATGCAAGGCAAGCGCTCTACCACTGAGCCACCTTCCCAGCCCCGAAGCAAATTATTTCTGCCCTTAGCTTTCAACGCTTTAAGATTTGGAAAATTAGTGGTTGTTCTCACTAGTTATTAAAGGTGCAGAAAACTCAGAAAAACACAAACCAGAGGAAGAGAGACATAGTCACCATGCACTGTTCCCCCCGCCCCCCACCAGGCCTGTCACCACTGTCCACACATGGCCTGGGCAGGAACCTGGAGTGGCCAGGGCCAACTTGCAGTCCACCATCTGGGTGAGGGCCACGTCCACGTCCGCTTGTCAGCGTTCCTGCTAGCGTGGCCATTGGTGCCTTTCCCCTTGCTGTGGGCACATGAGGGTGCCAGCTGCCCAGGGCCACACACCCCCGGCACACACCCAGCACCTGTCCTGCAGTGGGAACACCGACAGGACACGGAATACACACCTCATCACTGAATGATGGAATGGATGTAACTCCTGTAAGTGGAGAAATAGCTGCCACGCTCCTTGCTGTAGTGCCCAGGGCCTGCAGTGCTCACTGCTCACAGTGCTTACAAGACACCCTCAGCCCTCACCACCTGCCGTGCTGACCTGAAGCGGCTGCCTGAAGACAGGAAGCTGTTCCATGACTATGTTTAGTCTTGAGTTTCAGTCTGTCTGGCTCCAAACCCCCATGCTCCCCTCCAGATCTCACACCTCTGTACCTCATTCTACTGGAATGAATCTGTTTGTAAGCCAGCCAAGCCCAGAGCCTAGGGTTCACAATCTAGCATCCCTCAGATGTGCAGATTCCAAAATTGCTTCTTTGGGATTTCAGAAGAAAGACAGAGTGTGTGTGTGTGTGTGTGGACTTGCAAGTCACTTTTTGGCCATAACCCTTTGTTGCCATTGTCCCCATGGACCACTTTGTGGAACACTTGCTTCCCAGCCTTCTGAGCCTCGCATTGGACCCCGCAGGGCACTGCAGGACCTGCTCGGGACGCTGCTGGAGAAGGGTCTGTGACGCCCGGCACCCTCCTCACTTCAAAGATCGTCTGGCTCACCGTGGCAGGCTACAAGGCAGTGCATTTGGCCATTGGTCTGTGAATCAACATAGCAGCTTCAACCCACAATATTTTTTATGTGTGAAATGACAAAGGAATCAGATGTAACTCGGTCTATATGTAATAAAAGTGTAAAATGTTTCATGGCTTTCTAGCAAGAAGGGAAGTTCCTTAACTTTTGAGTTAGCAGGCTTTGTCTCAGCTGCTATTGAATTGAAATGATACTATTTTGTAGTCAGCAAACCTGGCCTAGCTAGTTATTACAAACTGGGGTGAGGGAAGAGGCTTTATAGAAGCTGCACCACTCTTGGACGGCTCCATGTAGAAACAGCTTCAGTTCTTCCACGCTTCTCAGTCCCCTCCACCAGCAGCTTGCCCAGCTCATTGTAATGGCCTATTAAGTATCTTTTGATGACATTTTATACTTGAAAGGATGGTGTAGGGCTGTTCCGTGAGAAGTGGTCTGCTGCCACGCGATGGCTGACCCGGTCAGTCAGCAAGACTGCAGGGTGTTTGGGAACACAGTTCATGGCACATGGGATTCAAACTCTTGTCTTCTTTTCTTAGCTTATTTTAGAAATGCCGGAAACCCTCATCTTCAACGATGAAGAGACTGTCTTGACTTTGCAGTCTGATCGGGACCAAGATGTTTCCTTCTTTGCCACCCTGGAGCCAAAGCGGCAGAATATTCTAGACTCTCCTGCGGTAGGCAAGCAGAGCTAGCTCCTCTGTGGTGCACTGACGGCGGTGTGGACAGTGGCTTGTCGAGGGAAGGAGGACTGGCTGTACATGTCAGTGGACAGGGAAGGCCTGCGCTTTCGTGCAGCCGCTCAGAGGGCCGGCCTCTTGTGACACACAGCCCGCACGCCCGAACCCCAGGCGGGGCTTATTCCAGACAGTTGGCTGGCACCCCACTCCTCCACCCCTGTAGATTTGGCCTGCCAAAGGGCGGGGGCTCCATGCCAACAGACTGCGGCCAGCAATTTGCTTCTTTTGGACAGACTGTTATTTAACATCCCTTCCCGCCAGTAAAGTCACAGATTCATTAGAAGCTTATGTAAGTCTTCCACAGACATACATATTTTCTTGTGCTTTCCTATAAAATATAGTTTATGGTGTTTTACTTTTAACTGAAATACTGTACATATGTAAATAATTCTTGACAGGAAGAAAATCTATGAATGGGCTGTTAGCTTCCCACAAGCAAGCTGAACAAATACATCATTTGAATTTATGTTCCACTTGAGTTACTGCAAGTATAGCTCCATTTGTTTACCTTTGAAACCCGTGGTAGTTCAAAGAGAACTAGAATGATTTATGGCAGCCTGTCTGATACTGTGCTTCTGGAACTTTCCCTCGGGTCCTTGGGCTTTCCCTTCTTGCAGAAATCTGTCCCAAGAAGTGTGCTGGTCTTCGATAAGGCAGAAGGCCGCTGGATTTCTCGTTCTGATGGGGAGTTTTGCCCCGTGTTAAGAACTGGAGAGGAAGGCTGATAGTGAATGGCGGGGGTGCTGGCTTTCTCGCAGTTTGGCCTCCTCACAGAATTACGGAAGTGCAGCTGTGCTTAGAACTTGTCTGCAAATACAGAGATCTGGGGGCCAAATTAAGGGCTCTTCAGATCAACTCAAGTACACAGAACTTAAGATTTCATGCTCTTGAGTTGTGGACTAAAAGATGCTCTAGCCTTGGAAGCGACTTTTCACCAGGAATCCAAGGTTCTCTTAACAGGTAGTTCTAAACAGGTGACTCATGCTTCTCGTTCTGCTCTTACGTATGACAGTGACCAGGGAGGCAGGAAGAGCAGCCTCTTCACCACTCCGCTCTGCTCCTGCCTTTGTACGGATTTCCTTTCATTAAAAAATAAACTTCTTGAAGCTACATATTGAATTTCCTGGTTCAGGATACCGCTCCCAAGCCCTTGATTCCATTGAACTCATATTTTATAAAGAAAGGAAGGGGCCCATGCTGTGCCAAAGCAAACAAGGTGTATGTGTGTTTCAAATTGTAACACAGCATGTGGGTAACTTGGAGAGGTCAACACCATTAAAGTAGAGGCTGTATAATTTTTTTAGGTCCATTGTGTTTAGTATGTGCCTAAATATTTATTTGCTCTCACAGTATCATTTTTTAATTGCTTACAAAGTGAGATTATCCTGTTAAAATCTGTTTTGAAGCAACAACTAAGAGTACTCAGCTGAAATTGTGTGTTTTATGCAGAGCTTCGTTTTCCATTAGGGACAAGGTGGACTTCAGCTTGCGTTGTGAGGTGTGGAGTTTGCTCGTGGAATCACAGGCTCTGGTAAAGATGGCGAGACTGGTAAACTACCCAACCTTCGTGATTTGTTTAAATGGTCAAATTGTCTAACAATATGAATCCTCTCCATTGGAAAGTGGTTTTGTTTTTAATGACTGATTTCTTTGCAAAGTATTTTTCAAACCTACATTTTACTCTTCATGGCTGCCACCCAGGGTTTTTCTCAGATGGTTGGCACACTGCTCTGTGCTCTGCCTGGCCACAGCCCCGGCCCGGCCACCCCCTGTGGGTGCAGGGTGGACTGGTAGGGGTGGGTTGGCTTCCTGGACTCCACTCTCGGCTGGGGGGGAGTAGGGGTGGCCCAGGTGGGGCGCAGGCCGGGGCGGGGCGCAGGCCGGGGCGGGGC